CAGTGTGTGTGTGTGTGTGTGTGTGTGTGTGTGTGTGTGTACACAGACACCAACACTCCCCGGAGAGCGAGATCTATATATGTGTGTGCCTGTATAAAAATAAATAAAATATGATTTGTTCAGTTTAGAGGCATGATGTGGTGTGGTCCTGCTCATTCTGGAAGATGGTTTCCTATATTGGAAGGGAAAGGCCTGTATGGCAAGATGTTTTTGAAATGCTCTCACTTGTACTATTATTTTACAGTAACAACGTGTGAATCCCCTTACCTAGAGCAGACCAAAGATACTTCAAGCACTGAAAAAACAGACTCTTTATCAGACATCCTGGCATCTCAATATAGCGATCAGACAGGGACCCCGCTTGCAGTAAGTTTGTGGGATTCTGTGGAGAGAGAATTCCTACTCCTTTTTTTTTTTTTTAAATAGATGTAGTGGCCAACACTTTGAAATGTGCTTCTGTGACTTAATTCCTAAGGCACTGAGGCCTCTTAGAAAATTATACTTAGTCTTCTGAAATTGGGCACTTCTTGGAAAAGGCAATGCTATTCTCTCTAAACCTAAGCTCAAAAATATTTTGGGTATGTCCTACAGCTGCACTGCTTTCCCCACACTCCTCAGGAGCCCTATTTTTTGAGCCTGTCTCCTCAAAATGAAGTGGTGAAGCCACTGTCACTACTGTTCTTGATCTCAGTCTTTCATACTGGAAGTAAGTGGCAGGGTGCTCCCTGAGTAGGTTTATGCCTTGTTTGTGGCTTTGACATTAGCAGAGCTTGGAGCCAGTAGCTTGGGGCCTGGGTGAGGGCAGCATCTGGGAAGGAGTGTAAACAGTCTGCGACTTCTGCTGAGTTTTCCTGTTCTCACTGTGACTGAGTAGAACCATCATGCATCTACTTGCACAAGTTAATGTTTTCTTCCCATAAGATTTGAACAATGTTTATGAACAATTAATTGTAAATATTTCTGTATTCTCTGTTGATAGTAATGTGATGCTAATGCAGAAGCATGCTTGGTTCATGACTTCATTTCTCTGTTTAGCAGATGATCAGTTCAAGTGTAAGTACAAGCACAGCAAGTCAACAAACTGAGATGAGTGTTACTAACCATGTGCAAGGTCAGGCATGAATTCTTATACTTCATACCTGAATGATATTTGTAAATGGTTTGCTTTTATAGTCTGCAAAAACAAAACTCTTTCAACAGCTCCAGAGACTGAAGCAGTCATTTCCCTAATACCCTCTGCAAAGTTTAAAACTCCATCCCCAAGAATGAGTGATAAACCCAGGTAAGTGATTCTGAAGATTAAAGATCTCCTCTAAAGTGTTCACATTCTCTGAAGGCTTCTGTGCATTTCTTCTTCATAAAATATTCTGAGACTAGTTGTTTCTAAATGAAAACTCCCCTTTTACCACATGAATTAAAAAGAGGAGGAAATGCTGCCTACATGTTTATAGTAGAAAAACTATAATGTAGGACTCCTGGCTGCTGTTTGTACTCTTCCCTCCCCCTTCCCCTTTATTATTTGTGTTAACAATCTGGAT